TCCTTATCTAAACAGATACCATAATCGTGTCCACAAAATGACTTAGAACATTAAAATAACTAAAATATTATTATTATCTGCGGGTATATATCTGGAATTAGTGCTGTGGGCATTTAGTTAAAACTACGCAGTTGGTTTGATGTACAAGAACGCATTAACGATTAGTAAGTTGCGCCATGCCGGTCGCTCTAACTGAATTAATTAAGTCAAACTGTGTGTACTACGTGATAAACGGCACGAATGTTCTATTTTTACATTGAAAACATTTCATAAAACGAGGAAAAATAGTATGCACATACAGAACTAGTGGTATATGGCTATAAAAATAACTATCGGTGCATGGCATCGTGCCTTAAGGCATATTGCTGATACTTCCCGTACTGCAATTGAACCACTTAAAAATTTTAAATTTTAGTTTTTTTTTTTTTAATTTCTGAAACGAAAGTAGTTTTCTTAGAAAATTTTAAAAATTTTGATAAAATAGTTTTTTTGTGAATATTGAACTAATCAGAACGTCTCCCAGTCAATACGAATCGAATGATTTTTAAATCATATAAATTGATCCGTGCTTCCGAAATTGTGGACGAAAAATTGTATCCAAATATACATACACACACCATTTAGTCCAGTTATTTAGGCTTAAATTAGGTAAAAATCTCGCAATTCGAGATACCCAGCTGTAAGCCTGTAAATACTGTATATTGGCACCCTAAAAGTTTTGAGACAACTTTTAGGACGTCAATATACAGTATTTACAGACTTAGAGCTGGGTATCTGGAATTCCGAGGAGAACTTACTATAATGACTAGACTAATTCATTTTTTGCAAGGTATACCAAAATGTTCAGAAGTCCTTGTTGAAACGCAAAGATATGCAACAGTTTTCATTTTTGAATTTTTTTTTTAATTTTAAATCTGCAATCTTAGACATACGAATTCGTTTATCATTGAATACGTTCAATTGATACTTTTTTATAATTTTAAAAATTTATTAACATAAATATTCGTAGATTGTAATCTATTTATACTGAAAATGATTTGGAAAATCAATGAATAATATATGCTGTGTAAAACTTCTAAAACTGCACTTAATAAATTTTAAATCGAAACATGAAATTTATTCAGTTGAGTTTTACTAGTAATTGAAAATGTTTAATCGATTCTATTTTATTTTGATGTAAATAAAGATAATTTTGAAATATTCGTAACAAAAAATAGAATTTTATCACTGGATGGCAGTCGATTAAGGCTTTCTAAGTTACTACCAAATATTTGCTGGTGCTCTATTTAAAGTATTATAATATAAATTATGCATAAAAACGGTAAAATATAATACATAAGAAATAGCTAGACCTGCCTTTGCCAAAAACAAATTACTCCTTCTCCCTGTCATTACGAATTGAATGTTTTTTTATTATTCAAATCGGTTGATCCTTCTCTCAAATGGAACTAAACCAATATTATAGAACTAGTCGTATATGGGAATCACTGGTTCAAACGATACTATACATAAAAAAATGGTAAAATATTATACATAAAGAATATACTATAGAACTAGTCGTATATCGAAGTCACTTGTTTAAAAGATACTAAAGAGCTAAATTTCATTTCTTCATTTCGATTATTTATAAATGCAAATTTGTTCTATCCCAAAAGATTAAATCTTATATAATAAATCATAGTGAGTTTAGTTTTATTCCAAAATTTTATTACATTATCAACGACTTTACAAAGAATTGCTGAAACTATTCTACAATAGTAAATAATTTTTAAATCTGCATAATATAGTTTTTAAATGATTGAAAATGTTCACTCGATGTAAAGAAATCAGTTTTGAAAATTACTAGAAAGTTCTCAAAAAAATTTCCCTATTCCTATTTTACACTTGACGTCAGCAATTTCCTAAGCAAAGAACTTCATATAAAGTTCAATGCAACAAAGAAAAAGCTTTATATTTATTATATGTGTATATTTCCCAAGCGCACTCCAAAACTTTAATAATTATTTATTCTGTTTCAATTCACATTATTTTCTTTAAAATTCCTACCGAAATATTTTCTTCGCTTCGGTGAGTTTTTCCTTTTCCATTATTCATTCGAGAAAACTTTTACGTATCGAACAAATACACAAACTGTAAACCGAGCTTTTCGTTCACGAAAAATAAATAATTCAAATTTCCTGGCAACTTCTATGACACTCTATTAAAACCTAATGAAAATAGGTCAAAGCTTTTAATCAATTAGTGCGAACATATGAAATTATCAACTCGAGTCATTTCCGACGATGTCGAAATTGAATTCGTTAGTATGAAAGCGAAAATTTAATTATTGCATATTGAATACATGCACAAATATATACTTACACATATTTAAGTATGTATTTTGTCAATACGTTTGACAAATCCATCACTATTTAATCTTGTAATGAACAGATTAAGGAAAAATTTTCCCTATATTTTCCCTAAAAGTTATCACCAACTATGGAACTGACTATGGAACTGAACCAATGCGTCAAATCGTCAAGGATGATCCAATATGAATATTTAAAACCCATTTCAATTAATTCTGCCTTTAATAAAACACACAGCCATTGCACAGAGTTATTTAGTATCATTTAATCTCTCATAACGAGTAGAGCTTATATGATTATTATTAAAAATATTTTATTGCAAAAATATTTCCTCTATGAAGAAACGGTTGTAAAGTTTTACATAACCCAGTAGTAAATTTTGAATGCACGACAGCACCCAACAAATATTATACTTTTGTCTGCAATCTCGTTTGTCATCTTTTTTGCCAAGTTTTTTCAAATATTTGTTTTTGTGTCGACGCAATGCTGATATTGCGAAAAAGATTCAGATGGTAATATGACTTAATTAGATGTGTGTGGATTTTGTGACAATTAATAAAGGAATGCCAAAAAATTGGAAACTTTTGAAAATGTGTTTTTTCAACATTGCAATCAAACACTAATTTAATATTATCTTGTGCATACGAAATTTCATAAAAATCAATAGTACTTAAATAATATTTTAAGGTCTTTGACCCATCCTATTTTAAGAACCCTTGCATGATCTTCAATCATAATATTACACATTATTTAAAGAACATTGCGCAGTTTTGTACGTTTAAACCATAGGTTCCTAAACTTTTTGTGTCGGGAACCCCTTAAGGCTTAAGCTAAGCCTTGGACCTTCTATTTACCCTACATCGATTTTTTTATACATTTCTAACTGCACTAAAATGTATCATTATGTTAAAATAAAAAATATAAATTACTTGTATACATTTCACAATTTAATTTAAAATAATACTTAGTGGTGTATTGCATCGTGCCTAAGGCAAATTGCTGGAACTTCCCATACCGTAACGAAATGATCGAGGAATATTAAATGTTTTTATATAGATTTTTATAAACATTGTCTAATATTTATAAAAATTATATAAATTGAATTGCACAGTTGAAATTATTTATTCAAAGTATATAAGCGAGGAGCTTCAGAACTGTAGCCAGAATTAAAATTAAAATCTGAATAATTTTCGATATACAAAAACAAAAGATTTTTTTGGAAAAAAAATGCAATTCCTTTCAATTCCAAAAGATTAAATTATATATTTATTATATATCATAGTGAATTTTATTCCATAATTTTATTTCATCATCAACGTCAATAATGTAAATTCTATTTCGTATATAATTCATCATATTCGCTTGCGTATAATTTAATTAAATCCGCTCACTAAATATACATATATACCAAAGCCTCTGTTCTAATTAAAGCCCCGTATCTAAATAATAATAATATCATCAATTTCTGGGAAGTTTCAAAGTGACTTCTTAACAATACTTCTCTTAAGATCCAGAAAGAGCAATTTATAAAATTAGTTTGACCTCATTTCACAAGGAATGTGCAAGACTCCGAGAAGAAACAAACAGCGCTTTTTAAATTAAATTTATCATTACTATTCGGAAAGACTGTTACATTTGAATACTGTGAAAACTTTAATAGAGTTTAGTATTAGATAAATTTAGAATTTATTTATTGTGTAAAGAAAATAATAAGCATGTGCGTTCATTGAACTGGTAACCATGATAGGTGGAATTTTGCCAAAAAGTCGTATGAAACCTATTAAAATGCCATTTACAAACTTAACACAAAAAAATATATCAAACTGAATAAATTACCAGTATTTTAAGTCGTTAAATGCTTTTAAAACCGCAATAAAATAAATTTTACACACAGATCTTCGATAAAAGCTTTCACAATGAGCTTTTACTGCACCGTCACAAAATGCACCCGAATCATAATATTTTACTAATAAACAAAATTTATGTGTATTAAAATCGCACACAAAAAATGGTTCATGAAAGTACTACAAAGTATTTTTTTCTGTTTCCAAATCAGGAATAAAAATGCATTTGTGCATGCAAAAATACGGGAATGAAATTTATATGTATCCGAAACGATGATTGGAATATTCAGACCAAGTTTATAAATTTTACTAAATATTAGTAAATATTAGTAATAAGAAATTTGTAAGCTTTGTCTAAAATATTCCAATCTTTCTAATTACAACCCGCCATGTACCTATATAAATAAGTATTATGTATAAAGTTGAAACATGTATTCTTAAAAATAATTGCATACAACTCGTCGCAAATGTGGTACTAATTTTCGGTATATAAATACAGTATATTTTCCAATATTTATTATTTCATTTTCGACTAATTGTTAGCGTTAATTTTAAGAATACAATATATTATAAATAACCACCAGCACGATCCCACAATTGTCTTCACCAAGCATCATCATATAAATGTTGTAAATAACAAACACCTTCTCAGTTCCAAATTTTACACGAAAACAACACTTTTAGTTCAAATTTTAATCGATCTTCAGTGTATGTAAATAAAATGGAAATTTTATATCTTCTCACCAAATCAAGGGAAAAAATAGTTCCGGATAGTCATAGTATTTTTTTTCTTCATGTTTAATTTTAGCGGGCGTCAGACAAGCGCTGCCAACATTGCGAACGTTAGGAACACGAATTCAGACATGCCGGCGCCAAATTCGGCGGAAGAGACCGCCCTTCTTGGGTAAGAAGAAGAATTTTGAAAAAAAATAAAAAAGACAAGTAGGAAATACGAGGAAATTTCCCACGACATGGAAATTTTCATGCCAAACGTGAATGATTTATAAGTGCCCTTTTCACTCGTATATTGCAACCATTTTATGTCGCCATACGAGCGCAAAGGGTTAATGCGGTACACTGGACGATTTTAATAATTTAAGTAAGCATTTTAAAGATTTAAATATAAGTATACTAGTCATTTGGCCGATGTTAAGGTGTTATATGAGCGCGAGCGTGTACTTGCTCAAGTTTTTTCTACTTTTGAATGTGTTCTACCACATGGAATAAAACAAAATTGTGGACAGTAAAAGAAAATTTAATTAGCATCTTTTGAGTAAATCGTGCTCGAAAATTCGTTTAGTAACTTTTAGATCTTTACGCAATTATTTAGGCTTCGAATGTAAGTACAACAGTTGGTTAATTTCGCAGCAATTTTTTATGTATTATTACAAGATAATTACGAATTTCGTACATGATGAAATCTTGAGCAACATTCCATGAGTTGAGTCATCGTGTTTCGCAAAATTTGGCGAAAGAGACCAAAATTCTTTTTAAATAAGAAGAATTTTGAAACAAAAATAAAAAAGACAAATAGGAAATGCGAAGAGATTTTCCACGAAATGGAAATTTTCATGTCAAACGTGAATGTTTTCTAAGTACCCTTTGCACTCGTACATTGCAACTATATTATGTCGCCGAAGCGACGCCATACGAGCGCAAAGGGTTAATGCGGTAAACTAAAATCGATTTTAATAACTTAAGTAAGGATATAAAAATTTTGGAAATAAGTGTAGTACAAGGTATTCAAAAATTTGTGTAGTAAATTTTTTATGTAAAAGATTTTTACGCAATTATTTAGGCTACGAATATAAGTACAGCAGTTGGTTAATTTCACAGCAATTTTTTATGTATTATTACAATATAATTACGCATTTCGTACATGATGAAATCTTGAGCAACACCCATGACTCATATAGTTTGAGTCATCGTGTTTGTTTGAAAGGCATTTTGGACAAACAAATTATGATAGCAATCATTAAATCGTATATTATAAACTTTATCTTGAATAATGGATTTGGTATCTGCAGTAAAATCCAGTTTGATTTGAAAAATTTAAATGTCTGAATAAGATATGCAATTTTAATAAAATTCTAGAATTAATAAATTAAAAACTTACGTTAAAAAATTAATAAAAACGTATATTATAAATTAAACGTATATTATAAATTAAACATATATTATAAATTTAAACGTATATTATAAATTAATGGATTTGGTATCCGTAAAAAAATTATTTCGAATGAAAGAATATCTACTTCTAAATATTGTTGTACTATTAACTTAATAACTTCGTAATTTGACATTAAAGCATAAATTTTTCCAATAAGGTATTTGAATGCAATAACACATCCTGCAATATGCATTTTTGTAATATTTTAATATAATATTTTATTTCCAAACTAATCTTTTTTTTATAAACCTACTAATTTGGAAAAAAAAATATTTCCATTACCTAAACGTTATGATAAAAATATTATTGTAAAGAGTAATAAATTAATATACAATGCAAATTTTAATAATCAATTAACTATAAAAATATTTTATAAAAAATAAGAAACTTGAAAATAATTTAATAATGACAAACTGCAGTACCCATATCCATATCTACTTTTTCGAAATTCACTATCAAAAATATGATATTATCCATTAAAATTTTTCCAAAAATTTCGTGATAAACCGTTCAATTTAAATCATCTAACGGGCCTTCTGGCATAGCAATTTACTATTAAATTAAATTTTGGAGAAATAAAAAAATACAAAATAATTAATACATCTCAAATCATAGTACTACAATTTGCCCAAATATTAATTGATTAATGAAGAAAAATAAATTCATATAAAGGACAAAAGAAATATAAGCTTTAATTAACTATAAAAATTAAATTAATGCATTATTTGAAAATATTATAATTATGATATAATATAATAGAGCTATCCATATTTTCTTGAAAATAAATAATTTCGTCGTAAATCTTTCAAATTATCTTTAAATATATATCTTAAAATCTTTCTGATAAGTAGAAGTATGAATCATATTACAGGGATGTCTTTTGCCAAAACTTTTACTACTAGAATAAATTTTAGAGAAATAAAAAAAATGATAAATAATTATTACATTTTATATGCTAGTGTTATTTTTTGCCCAAAATATATGATTAAAATATTAACTAATTGGCACTTGCAATAAATAAATGATTGATAACAAAATATTTATATTTCATTTATTACCATTCAATTATTTAATCATAAATCATTTCGAACAAAATCGCGTGAATTACTGGTCAATTACAAAGATAGCCTTTTTTTAACCTTTGATGACATAAAAATTTGCATTCGCTCGATACTTTGCATTGCATATTAATAATAATAAATAAAAACAATATCGGTTTATGCACTTCCTAATAGAGGTCAATTGACAAAGTATAGTCAGATGTTTGACAGTTGATTGAAATTATTGTGTTTTTATATATTGTTTATATGATATTACAATACTTCTTGTAATAGATGATTGAAGTAATCATTATGTATGTGTATTTGTGTGGTTTTATATGTATATGTGTGTTTTTATCGAGGACAAATTGATTTGTGACAAAACGGGTAGAGGAAATTTGTGCTTTATTTTCGTTGCCAAGATAAGAAGGAAAAGCTGTTTTTGGCAAAAAAGGAAAATGATACTATTTGTTCCTTATTTTGCGAAATTGCTTTTTATAATATTTAATCTTTGTAAACGTAATATGCAATAGTATTAGGATATGTATAAATCAAAAGCCCTATAAGCCGTAAAGGTAAAATTGAGGTCTAACAGACATCATTTTACTTGATACATTTAAATGTTTTTGGTTTTTAATGCTTTGCATAAAAATCATTTAAAATTTATTCATAAAGTAATTTCTTAATTAGTTCAATGTAATATTTCATAAAATTTTCAACGAGAATGTGGAAAAGATACAAACGAACAACTTCCTACAAAATATTATTTCTTTTCGTTTTAATTTAAAAATGAATGTATAATTTTTCTGTTAAGAATTTGAATTCCAGATATACACAGCGAAGATATGGACGAAATATTTCTGATACGATATAATAACAAGTTCATACAAAATATTATTTTTTAGATAGAGGAGCCGATTTTGTCGCAAAATAGACCAATTTTATAGCAAGACTATGTTACGTTCCAATTTTCATACAAAATGCTACTAAATACTGTCGAAATGCCTTGTATTTGCAGTGCGATCACAGTTTTACACATAAACTGCAACGTCACTTATATGTTATGAAGCTGGGTCAGAAAGACCCTGTTATCTAGCATCGTTTTTTTACATTTGTGCGGTTTCTAGGTTATCTAAAACGCTTGATTGCACAGCAGCCATATAGAATTTTGACAGTTTTTAGTACCACTTTATATATGAAAGCTATGTTACGTCTCAGTTTTCATAAAATGCTACTAAATACCGTCACAATACCATGTATTTGCTGTACTATCAGGCGTTTTTCACATAAACTGCAACGTCACTTGTATGTTATGAAGCTGAGTCAGAAAGACCCTGTTATCTAAGATCGATTTTTTTTGACATTTGTGCGGTTTCTAGGTTAGGTTCTCTATGGACTGCACATCAACCATATAGAATTTGACAGTTTTTAGTACCACTTTATATGAAAACTGTTACATAACATAGCCTTGCTAAAACTGGTCTATTTTACGGCATTTTAAAAATGAATATACGAATTCTTTTTAATATTGACAATTAGAATTTTGGAGATACATAAGGTATAATTTTGACATAAAACCAAATAAATTTCATACAAAATATGATTTTTTCCATTATAGTTCAAAAATGAAAATATGACTTATTTTCATTATAGTTTAGAATTATTAATATAGAAATTGTAGAAAAAGAAGCATTTATAATGCGCTGTAGACGTATATGCACGAAAAAGTAGACGCATGATTTTGAAATTAGAATTGTAATTATCATTGTAATTATTATAGCAATCTATAAATAATTTACACAGAAATAAATTATATATATTTATATATAATTGAAATTTAATCTAATAAGTAAAAGTGTGAACCAACCCAAAGTATACCAAAAATTGTATTAAATTATTTAAATTGAGTAAAAACGTTAGGCTATACTATATACGTTTGACTTAATCAAATTAGTGTATAATTAAAATAAATTAGTGATAGCGACAAAAACAAAAATGCCAAGCGATAGTAGGTGATAGTTGGATAGCAATATATCCTTGTTTTTTTTATCAGGACATAGATACATATATAAAGTTTGCATTAAATCACCAGGAATAATTTACGTAGCTATATTTCCATAATTTGAAGCTATATAGTTCTTATTGACCTTCATATATATTATTGTTACTGTTTATACAAGACGCTCCTAAGTCTTTAATTTAGCGTGACAAGCCAATTAGGAGGTACAGTTAAACGTTATTGACTTAGTTTATCAACTCAGAAAATATAACGCAGTAGAATTGAATTCCTTTAGAATATAAATATTGTATAGAAATTATAAATATTTTTACTACGACTTGAGTATTGGACACGCCTTGAGACCACCCAAAGAAACGCCCAAAGAAATTTAGTAGAACGAAATATTAAAAACACAGTTCTAACTTATTATATTCTGCTTTACTTTAATTTGAATTAATTAATTTTAATTAAAGAAAATATATAGATCAAAATTTAGAATAGAATGAATACGGTCAATCAAAAACAGTCAGGGCTAATTTTAGGTAAACCACGAATCGTACGAAAATTATTTTTAATTATTATAAACTAGAACTATGAGAAAAATCGATAAGGGCGTTTAGGAGTTCAATTATTGACTCAATAAAAATATGTTAATTATATTATTACTTTATCCTACCTTTCTAATCGATGCTTTTCCACATTTTCTCCCCAACTCCAAAAATCAGCAACACCATGCCTTGTGATCCAATGGACGACATCGAACTAAAATCAATTCAGCTCCAATTTCCATCATCAAGAACTGCTCCAAGGCAGAGCATTGGAACAATTTCCAGAGTCCCTACTGATCATGGTGAATTGCAAGTTGCTGTAGTTGGTGATTGCACAAAACCAGCAATTCTGACTTATCATGATCTTGGATTGAACTGTAAGTAGAAAAAAAATATAAAAATCATAAATATAGATATGAAAACTATAAAGATAAACATTTACATTCATTTACTCTTGAGTAAATTGAATCATTTTATTCTTTCAAAACGTTTCTGAAACCTATTTTGGAAAGTTACAGAACAATTCCAGACAATTACAGACGGATACTAAATATTTTAAACAATTCACACTATTTGCATTAAACCCAATTTTCCACTAACAGTTTCAAAGTTTCAAACTGTTCCGAATATTTCCAACAAACTTTATCGTCTAGTTTCGAGTCAACAATGTGCTTAAAACTTTGGAATTCATAACAGAAACTTAGATGGAAGATATTCATTGAATGTAATACTAAATCGAATTAATCCTCATAGAATTATGCATGTTTCTTCCAGATTCGTCAAGTTTCAGTGCTTTCTTTAATTATCCTTCAATGAGAGCTCTACTTGAAAACTTTTGCGTTTATCATGTCACCGCACCTGGACAAGAAGAAGGAGCTCCTACTTACCCAGAAGAGTAGGAATATTTTTATTATTTTTTATCCAATAATACGAATTCTTGTAAATAATTCTTATTCCTCTATTGACAGCTATGTGTATCCTACGATGGACCAACTGGCTGGGCAATTACCTTTCGTATTGACTCATTTTGGACTAAAATCTGTTATCGGTTTTGGAGTTGGATTTGGAGCCAACGTTTTGGCCAGATTTGCTATCGAACATCCAGAACAGGTAGAGCAATACTTCACCAGCTACAATTTGTTTTTGAAATTATTTTAATATTTGTATAAATTTTGTGACAGGTTGGTGCTCTTTGTCTGGTAAACTGCGTGAGCACGGTTTCTGGTTGGATCGAATGGGGTTACCAGAAATTGAACGCCCGTCATTTAAAATCCAAAGGGATGACCCAGGGTGTTGTGGATTATCTGATGTGGCACCACTTTGGAAGAGTAAGATATTCAGAAATATTTTGAACTTTGACATTCGAACTATACAAGTACCAAGGCTAACAAACCTATATTTGATGGTCAATCTCATTTCATATCTATGACATCCTTATTTAAATATAAGCTTCACAAAAGATCACATATAGGTTGTGCAGCAGTTTTTAGGCATATTACTCATTTTTTAACCATTTTTTTCTATTACAGAATACAGAAGAGCGTAACCACGACCTCGTCCAAGTCTACAAGAATTACTTCGAGCAGCAAATAAATCCAGTGAATCTTTCGATGCTGATAGACACGTATTTGAGAAGAACGGATATGAATATTGCCCGTAGCCCGACATCCGGACCTCAGAACAACGATATGACATTAAAGATGCCCGTAATGAACATTACAGGAAGCCTATCGCCACATGTCGATGACACTGTCACGTTGAACGGACGTCTGGATCCAAAGAACTCCACTTGGATGAAGGTGAGATAAAGGACTTATGATATGATCTACCAATTATTTCGTATGTAAGAGGCATGGAAGCAGAGCAAGGTGATTTTAACCCTTAAGTAAGATTAATATGATTTGATCCTTAAGGTAACCATTAACTGATCCATCCGGGACGGTCCCGGATGGTCCACCATGCACCTGGATTATTCTAGAAGCAATATTTATACCAGGTTTAGGTTTTTTGTTCCTGATTGTCGCGAACTTTTGAAATCCTTCTACTTTTCAATATAATAATAAGGCAAGTCCATGGTGTGAGAGCCACCACAAACAAATGACCTCCTTACCCTTCGTCTATCATTCCCATTCCCCTGCCGCTTTTTATCTCATGTATTCACTCATGTATTTTCCTTTCCAAATTTCTGCTTCCATGCTTCTTGATCATGTGCTTTGGCTTTCAGTTCCCTGTATTTTCTCTCCTCGCGTAAGTCGTCAATCGTCTACATTCTTCTTCTTCCCATTTCTTTCATTCCTTCTATTTACTCTCGACTACGTCGTGCAGGAGGCACTCTTTTT